CTCTGCTGTCTGTGTTTGGCATGCTTCGAGTCACTGTTACAGCCTTCAACTTAACCTTGTTGCAGCTGGCAGGCATAACGGTATACCATGATGATGATCTGCGGTCGTCTTTATACCGACCTGTTGCCCAGGTCTTATATTTGTTTTACCCCAGAACCATCTGTGATCGATCCAGCTCTCCGCTCTCAGGACTATCTCCTGCGTCTGGTTTCACACACTGTGCCTCTGCCCCATAGGGTGGCAAGTAGGTGCCTGTACGGCGGTACCCCGATGATATACCCACCGTCCAATCCTGAATACATGATAATGACTCGTCCGTCAACACAGGTGTCAGACATCCTTCCCTTGAATTGATTTCTTTTCAGCAGGGACTCCTGCCGTAGGCTTCGGGAATGCGTATAATCCCCCGTCTAATTTATCGTACAACGCTCAGAGAATGATGGATACCAAAGTCCTCTGAGGTGGTCAACTAAATCGGCAGCCAAGCTGATTTGGGCACGCAAACCAGGGAAGTCAATCTCGGAATGGACCTAGCAGAATGGATCCGCTTTTCCTAGCTAGTAGCCGGAGGAGACGGCCGTGGTCCGTCCGCTATCAACCACATCCCCACCCTAAGTTAGACACATCTAACCACAACCTGACATGATCAGCGGGTTTCAGAGCGACCGAAATCAGTCAACATGTCTCGTAGATCAGACTCGATCTATTTGTCGGACGGGCTGTAGGAATGTTCCTTAGTATTGTATAGTGACAGTCTCAAAAATTCGTCCTTTGACTGCATTTGGGGCCCAATAGTAACCCCGGATGATAAGGTGAAGCGAGATCTTCAAGAGAATAAGGTAGACACCTGTTTCTTCGAGAGACTAGGTTGTCATGAAGGATGTCCCTAGTACTGTATACATGTTCTAATTTGAAACACCCACGCATATCGTTAGTAATGTGTCGCATATTGATCCACGAAGGATTCCTGTGAAGATGCATAAGATACTAAAATTTCGTGATCAAATCCTTGTACGGAGTAGTTCACGTCTTTTTCCTTTTTTTCCTTCTCTCTCTCTCTGCCCAAGGTTGATTGTAGAAAATTAAGATCAGCATGACAGGAATCGGCTCCTGACAGTAGTGCGATCGACCGTTCACAGACTATCAGCATCTACTATTTAGATCGATATCTAACATACGCTGCGCTGGATATCCAACCCGCACCCGGGGAAATCTCGGCCAATTCAACATGCGTGCCGTCATGAAAACAACACCCCCACGTGGCCCAGCGAGCATTAATGAAGCTTGAAGGGCCTGAAAGTTGAACAATAGCTTACTGATAGCGGTTCTTACCGATCTACAGGATTTGGTGTTGGAGAAGGGAAGTGCTTTAGCGCCAAATTCCTTTCCTGGAATGGCCTATTACTCCAATCCCATGAGGTATATTCCAATCCGAAATTTCTTCACTTCTGTAAACGCTCGTCATCCTGCATGTAAATTCCCCTGGGTGAACTTGGTGGGATTTGAGTGCCAAATACTCAGAGTTCTCACTGGGGCCAGGTTACGGGCGAAAGGATTGATGCACCACTGCAATATATGGCTTGGACGGTTGCACTGGAGGGATGGACCCGACTCCAAGCCCGGGATAGTCTCTCCCATGAAGCGTTCGAATCGATCAATCAAGCCTTGGTGATTTTCGGGCTTATTTCGGGCACCTTGTCATCCGTTGTGCATACCTATACGAGTGTATTCATCACCCGACAGTTTGGCATTCATAATGGTGAGCCCAGAACCAGCCGCTAATAATCGACGGTAATATGTTGACAGCTTTTAGTCTTCACGATTATTGCATGGGTGAGTATTTTACAGACAGTTAAGGCACTACAAAGCAAGCTATCAGCTAACGGCAAGTATAGATGTTATCAGTTGCCATGCAGGGTTTAACCCTGTGTAAGTCTTTTCAGCTATCTACAACTGTAACGATGGCTCCCGGGAATGTCAGCTAATATGATAGGCTAGACGGATTTAGTAGTGGTGGGCTTGGGAAGCACGAAGCTACTCTCTCGGAGAGCGAGTTGGTCAGGTTCACTGTGGTGAGAATTCACTCCACCCCTAGGAGATACGGGACTTCCTACACTAACACGGTCAAGGTAATTTTAGCAATCGTCGTGACGTTTATCCCACTAGTCTGTGTCGCAAAGCTGAGCCTGATCATGCTATACTATCGCCTGAGTCCCCATGTGAAGCTATGGAGATGTTGCATATACGGAATCGCGACCCTCATCACCATACCCACACCCATATTGGTTTTCCTCTATTTGTTCGGCTGCCAGCCGGTTGCTAAGGCATGGGACTCGACAATTACTGAAGGGCACTGTGTGGACCGTCTCAGTATCATGTTGGCAAGTTCCGTGTTGAACGTTGTTACAGATTTCTTGATGATCATCGCCCCAATACCTTTGATCTGGAAATTGAACATGCGGGTATGGCAGAAGCTAGGAGTTTCTCTGATGTTCTTCTTGGGTGGCATGTGAGTACTTCGTGGTCCATGCTACGAAACTCGACAGAACCATAAAGCTGACTATAGCAGCACCATTATTACCAGTATCTTTCGCGCAATCACTGTCGATAATTTGCTTTATGGAGGGGACCATCCCTATCATATGGCAGTTCCAATTCTATGGGCGTAATGCTTTCCTCTAGTGGTCGATGTAGGGGTTCGTCTCTAACGTGTTGATAGGAATGCGGAAACTATTCTTGTCATTATCTGCGACTGCCTTCCCTCGCTGCGTCCTTTCCTGCACCGCCATTGCCCTGGAGGCTGTTTCACGGGGTCTGAACCCTCCGGGGTTCCAACTAGTGGGACACGCAATACGAGGCAACATGGTAGAGGCCGCTATTTCGACGATGACATCGAGCTTATTCAGAACGACTCGGATTCCCCGAGGCCTATAGTTATCACACGGACCGTGGAGATGGAATTGCAATATCACAAGGCTGAAGTGGATGCAAAGCTGACAAAACAGTCTATTCCTTGATGGTATGTGTCTATCCTTATCCCAAGGTTCCCCATCGTTACTAAAACCCTACCAGCTGAACCAATTAACGCAGATTCGGAACCCATCAAGAACGAATGAAGTATTGCTTCATAAGTTTAAGTATATCCCTCTGAATGATATAATATAGATCAGACATGACCAGGCACTATACGATTTTAATTGCTATATAGAATACAGACGCACCATGCCAAAGTGATCTCATTATCTTTCCTGGTACTCACGAAAGCATCGGCAAGCTCAACCCCATGGCGAACTTTAGGCAATATGAACTTACGGAGAGATTACTCGGGCGCGTTTATACCATGAAATTAGTCAATGAATTTACAGCTTCTCTATTTAACTAGCTTCGATACGACCAGATATGATGGCACATCTGAAAGTCCCCACAATCTGACGGGTCGATCTGCATATCATAGCGGCTTGCGATGCGCAAAACTTGATATACTTTCAATAACCAGTCAAAAACATAAGAACAACTCCTTGAGTGCGTAAAAGATCGTGCCCAGATTGGCCGGCTAGAGAAGGCAAGCAGACATCATGGAGTTGCCTCTGAATTTTCACATTGGAGAAGAAAAGAGGAAACAAAGGTTTGGTTCCCATTGTCAAGGAACTATAAACATGCTGCGCCTTGGGTAAGGCTTGAGACTCAACATCTCTAGCATGCAGCCTGTCAAAAAGGGCGTTCTTTCTAGCTTCATAGCAGCCTCTTCGCCCCAGGAACTAAGAGGATCATTGCAATAAGTTGAATACGACATTTAGCCCCTATAGTGTGGAAGGGCCGACTCTTTGGTTTTTCTATACGAAGAACATGGATAGCAAGGTGGGTAGATTCGTGTAATAGCCGCTAACAGGCCGCTTGAAAGATACCCATTATGCAGGGCCTTCTACGTTCCTTAAGGTTAACTAACGAGTGGGATTACACCTTCTGTATAGAACGGTACTACCTATCGAAAACCGTCGCTATTACAAATCGCCATCATGCCTATCATGAAACCCCGATTCCATTTGTCGTCTGATTGAACCCAAAGCGTGATGGCTTAAGTTATAGAAGCTATGCAAGAGCCAATCGACTGAACTTGAAAGAGGTCAGTGAAATGTCAGCTCCGGCCAGTCGAAATGAAGTGCATCCAAATGATCTATTGGCATCACCTGCAACTTCATCCATCCACCGGTTGGCCGAGGAAAGATAAGAGAACGTGACCCAGCAGCGAATTCTACTTTAAAAAAAAATGTGAAGAGATTGCTCGGCAATGTTTCCCTCTACAGTGGCGATTTAGTAATGTTAACGATTTTTTCGTGCGGAATAGAGTCAAGCCATTGGAATTGGTTGCAAAGCTTGAGAAATTCAGGTTCAATGACGCAGACAGCGCCTTGGTTTGCGCCCTGCTTTTTCTTCCCCCATTCCTTTTGGATGTAACCCTACCTACTTTTGCCTTACGAGAAGTGTGGAGAATGGAGAACAAAATTCCGATGGCGTTTACCCCATGTGGAGACTCCTTGGCAGTCTCTCTCCAGACACAAGCCGGAGACAAGAATCCGATTCTTTCGTTTCGGAGAACGTAGGTGCCTGCCGCATTCCAAGCAGATCGGCCGCGTCGCATTCATTGTCGGCACAGACAAGGCGGTGGAAATTCTGGCATCGGTGGCTTTCTCGTGATGGGATACAGAGAGTATCCTCACGAAGCTTCGCCCTCGGTCCACCCGGCACCCCAATTCATATTAGTCACAGTTATACCGGTGGAGACCAAAATGCGGGATATTCGGGGCATCTATCGATCGGCAAAGGTGCCTTTGGGCCGTTGGCGGGCCTATACGAAAGAAGATCCCGACCAAAGCAGCCATCACATGTAATGTGAGAAAAAGGTTATAAAAGATGCTCTTTTCCAAGTTGTTTGGCAATAACCACTATCACCCCTTCTCACAACCTTTTTCGGATGGGCGATCCTTTATAATATACTCGCCATGAAGAACCTTGCCTTTGGCGTATACCTGACGGCTTTGGCGAGCGTGGGTTCTGCTGCACCCCATGCTTCATCCAGTTCGTCGGGCCCTGCATCTGCTCCGACAGGTGCTACTTATGCCTCGGGCTTTGATATGACCAAAAGCTGGGCCAATTTGAGTCCCTACAAGGATGCCGATGCTTCGGAGTTCCCAAGGGCACGCCGCAGGGCTGTGAGTTGTCACAAGTCCATGTGCTCCATCGCCACGCCGAGCGGTTTCCTACCAGCAATCTCTTAGATGGGAGAGGCATGGCAGATTTTGCCTCCAAATTGGTCAATTATACCAAGGCCAAGCCAGGAAAGACCGTGGCTAAAGGCCCTCTGAAGTTCTTAAACGACTGGGAGTATGTGGTTGGAGAAAATACGTTGATGGAAAACGGTGCTGCCACGGAAGATGCATCCGGTGCCGACTTTTGGATCAAGTACGGAAGGCTGTTGTACCGCCCTGATCGTGATAATGTGGCAGCCTGGAACGAGTCCCTGAACGTTTATCCCAACGGTACAGCACGACCGAAGCCTGTATTCCGTACCACTGATCAGGGGCGTATTCTGGAAAGTGCCCGCTGGTGGCTCAGTAAGATTTTTCAATCATCCCCAAGATCGAAGCCATTTCATCTAACGAGCGGGGATAGGTGGTTTCTTTGGCAACAGTGGTGCCAATAGCTCTTATGACCAATATGATTTGGTTGTTATTCCAGAGGAAACCGATTATTTCAATAATACTCTGGCTTCTTATGTTTCTTGTCCAGGTGACAAGACTGCCGGGTGAGTAACTCTCACAATCTGCTGTCTCCGTAGAGCGCAATTCTGGATAGGCTAGCTGACTTGCTCCGAACCAGCGATGAGTCTGCCCAGGTGTTCATTCCTCGATACACCAAGAATGCTCTCTCCAGACTGGCCAGTTACCTTCCCAAAGACTTCAATCTAACGGCCTACGATGTGCTCGCAATGCAAAACCTTTGTGTCTATGAAAACACAAGTCTCGGGGGCTCGTTCTTCTGCTCCCTGTTCACCGAGCAAGAGTGGAAGGACTTTGCGTATAATGTCGACATCCAGTACTACGGCAACTTTGCATTCGGCTCCCCCACTGGTCGTGCCCAAGGCATCGGCTACGTCTTAGAGCTCGCAGCCAGGCTCGAGGGCAAACTGATCCACTCTAGCGACACCAGCATCAACTCTACCTACGATGACAACACCGCCCAGTTCCCCATGAACCAGCCGTTCTATATGGATATGTCCCACGATGATATCCTTCTCTCGGTTATTTCCGCTCTCGGCCTTGAGCATTTCAAGTACGGTCCTCATGGTCTTCCAATCAATGTAGACCACGCACCCTCCAACCGAACATTTGCCCTCAATGACCTGACTCCGTTCGGTGCCCGATTCATGTCGGAGGTCTGGACGTGCCCCAGCAATGTTTCTTTTGACTCTTTGGATCCAATCCTCTATGTCAACCCGCGCCTAGACTCCGTGCGCGACACAAAGAAATACATCCGCTTTACGCTTAACAATGCCCCACTCCCTCTGGATGGACTTGTCGGATGTGAGGATTCTCAAAATGGTTTCTGTGCGGTCGATGGGTTCTTGAGCGGCGTCCCGACTCTGAAGGAGAATGCCAAGTACCAGGAGGCTTGTTTTGGTGAATATCCCACTGGAAAACAGGTCGGAGATGGTGTTCCAAATTCATAGACGCCAAGCTTGACGAGATGGCCTCCAAGAAAGAAGAGCATCCATCTCACGTTGTCGAAGTTGAAATATATGTTGTTTCTGATCTTACCTAGAGGGTTCATGAGTTAGATTCAAATGTATAAAACATCCACCTGTATAGATAGATATGAGAATATATGGAGTCAAGCTATTGTACTTATAATAGAGCGCTACGCGATTGCCAACATGGCTGAGATGGGATTCTAAATCCCGGCTAACGCCAGCATAATCACCCTTAGCGGCTAATTAGATCACTGTAAACAAAAGACTATAGGAGATACTTCCGAGTGACTATCAAATTTTGCTGCGATGAGGCCTCGTAGCAAGAAACTAGGAAAGCTAGCAGCGATGTCTATGGTAAACCTCAATTTGATACATTTTTGTTAACATCGCTCTTAGCCTCCCCTTGCTGCAATGGCTGTTGCTCTTCAGCTCCCTGCCGTGAAGGGCATCCGTTCTCTTCTTTCTGCTGTACTTTCCATATTGCTAATTCATCGACAATCCAATCTTCATCATCGTCAGCCCAGTCATAGCGACGTTCAGCTACTGAGTATATCAGTCGCCGCGGCCAGTGCGAGATAGCATTCAAGATACGTACGTTCCCAAATAGGGCGTGGCTCGTCCGATTCTGTACAAAACTCCTCCGAATAGTCCCAGCAGCCCTCTGTCTCACTCATGTCACTCATATCTGGATAGGTTTGTTCACCATCAGAGCCGGAGCGAGCGGGTACTTGAGGGGTGTCTTCGCACTCCGATTTCACATTCTCAGTAGACTCCTTGTTGCTGCTGATGGTGTCGCATGTATCCGGTATTGTGTTTTTGCGGCGCGCCGGAAGCGTCTGGGGCAGCTGAACTTCGCCTGCCATGCTATTCTTGCGTAAATCGACAAGTCTAAACAAGAGGTGTCTGAGCGCTCCCGGGCTGACAATATTAGGGATATGATGTTTTCGTTCCTTCTCACATGTCGGGTGTCACTGTATCACCACCTGGTAAATCACCGTGGTACATTCATTAGCACATCATTCACTTCCATCAGCAGGATTACATGGAACCGCTAAAGACTTTGGGGCGTCCTAGACGCTCGCTTGGGCATCCATTACAGATGCATTACAGACCTCTATAGTATATAATAGAGGCGCGTGGTAATTCTTCAATCTAAGTGTGAGATGGACCTAGCCAACTTTGATCTCCTGTTGTGTTTATTGTAGGAGTCATCCCATTACATCCTGAGATGACGTTAGGTGATACAACTATACCACAATAGCTAGCTTACTTCTTTCACAAATCAGTCAGAATAGTCGCAGATCGTGAGTAGCCGTTCACAAACTCGTAGCAGGATCATATCAAAGTTGTGGTGGTATCGCATGCAAAAAATACGTTGTTTATCGCTTCAATGGTATATACGCCTATGCGGTGTGTCCAGCTTCCTCTTGAAGCAGGTAATTTAAATCATTCCTTCAGGACCTTCAACGCTATATTCATCGTTTCTTCCGCCATAAGTGGCTTGTCCAGGGCTTGCTGAGGCCACCCAGTACGTCCGAGGCTCCTGTCTCACCACTCGGACAGCCCCTTCCATGCAACCTTTCTATTCTGCTGCTGTTTCGGACAGCTTCCATCTGGGCTGGAATCTCTTCCATTAGCTTGATGTAGTTAGCCATATTCAGAGGTGAGTATGACAATGCTCATGGATGGGCTCACATTTGGGCTCTGCCCCTAGGCAAATAGAGTAGTCTGGCCATTCTCCTCCTGAAACGGCTGATGCTTTCCAGAAAACGAGCATCCTGATTATATGTCTCTCTTTCTTTCCTTTTTTTCTCCAATCTCTCAAACATAAAACATACTCAAGCCGCTGTCCCGCATAACCTGCGCCCAGCTAGTACTATTATCACTACTCAAGGATTGCCCTTGCTTTTCCCACACTTGCGTGGCTATATTCAGGGCGAACTTGAAGTTCTGTAACCCACTTGCCTTGAACGACCTATTAAACCAATTTGTGAACCAGTCTCGTAGGGCCGGGTCAAGCGCTTCACATGCTGCGACAAATGCAGCCCATAGCAGAGGGGCGGTAGGGATATCGCCGCAATCACATCGCGACAGAGAGTCTTGAATCTGCCAGACCTTATCTTGCAGTATCGTTGGATCCACGTCGTATATTCGCCGGTAGAAGAAGATCAGCAATGCTTTGTGCAGAGCAAGAACCATATGATTGCTCAGTGTAGAGTTGGTCTGGAAGTCACCATTATTATTATTCAAGTCGTCTTCATCGTCTTCGCCGTGGAAAGGGGTGGAAGGAGGTCTCCATGTGCATATATACCGTTCGAGACTACGCGCTCGCGAAGAAAACTGTCTAAAGTCCAGGATACTTGACCCACCGTCTAGATCGGACATGTCTCGCTCATTCCCGAGGCGCGTCACTTGAGACAATAAGAATAAAAGAGTCTCTGGCATAGCAAACGCATGAGGGTACATTGTAGAATCCCATCGACCGGGAATCTCAAGGTGAATGTCATTCTCGCCCAGATGCTGTTCTTTCAGTTCATTCATTCTCTGATCGAGTCGGCCTTCCCATTGTCGAAGGCGAAAAGAGCGACTAGAAGCCACGGACGTAACGGTATCGGGCGACGCATCCATTTCTTGTTGTACACTAGATCCCCTTACGTGCGACACTGATGTGCTCTCGTAGAAGATGCGGAGATACACATAGCAGTGATGTAACAGTCGCACTTTCCGTGATTTCCGTGTCTTGGGTATACCGCGGAAGCGAATCCAATTTTCGCAATCCAACAGGCATCTCCTAATGCGATCTTCGTTGCCCTGATATGCCTGTTTATTTCCAAGCAATTGGTCAGTCTTGGCCCACAAGGATTTCCATCTATTTACTTCTATATCAGAAGAGATACCCATGAGATATTTGGTCACTTACGAAGACGGTATTCATACACATCAAGGCGATGAGGATGTCTTTGTATTTACTCCTTTTCAGGGTAATTGACATATCTCGAAGCGCCATCTTGAGATAGTTCTGCGCGGAAACAGCATATGACTCTGATTGCTTTTGCCAGTATTCACGATGCCCTTGCGATGTTGAAATTGCGCGCTGCATGTAAGCACCAGTAGCTAGAATTGCATAGAAGATACACAACTGTGCATTACCTGGTTGCTCCCCCATGGTCAATTGAGCGAAAGTTCCCATGGCACTCGGCACATGCAGAATCTGCCAGGGAGACTTCCTGGATTGGACCGGGGAGAATAATCTGATCACCTGGTTTTTATATACTGATAATAGAAAAGGCGCATCCGGAGGAGCCAGATTGGGAACAGTCGGTGTGTACTGGATATTTTGGGACAATGATGACAGTCCCATCAACATTTCTGAGCCCTCAGTCCCAGGCTGCTGTGATGAACGATCGTGATTTTCTATCCCAGTGGTGTTGAAGAAGCTTTCCATTTGGAAGTCGCCTGCGGGATTTACATCTATTCCCCCAAAAAGACATTCCATCAGAGGGTCATGGATCAAAGCATCCTCAAACGCCGTATTGAAGTCATCCGCGATAGGAACCTGCTGAAATGGAGGGGACGTCATGGGAGGGCATGCCAGCGCGTCCGTAGGCTTAAGCTCTGACTGAGGTGTGCGAAAGGCACCAAATGGCCCAAGGCAGGTATGGAAATGGCCATCAGGATGCTGCTCCTGTTCTTCACAACGATCATCAATCTGAAGCAACAAAGTGGCTGCGTCGTCTGGATTCACACTGTCTACCAGCTGTTCACTCATCCTCTGCCGCATGTCTTCGGTGAACAAAGGCCGACGGCATCGTGAACCTTGCGTGTCAATTACATCAAACACGAGCCTAATCTCGTACTTTTCACAGGTCAGGCCCAAATTTCGACACACTAAGCACGAGGGACGAGTTTCGTCACATTTCACATGACGGCTACGGCATGTGGCACAGCCTCCTAGAGACCTAGGTCGGGTTGTTGACATGGCAAAATGGGCAGACAGGGCGCAGGCAGGTTACCTCGATCCGTCGCCTAGAATTGTGATCATTGGGAAAGATATCCCAGAGTTGTTGCGCATGCGAGACCGGTTGGAGTCGGGGCTACGGAATGACTTGCCTATTTTCAAGCATCAAAAAAGCGGGGGATCGAAAAATACGAGGATCCACTTTCCTGGATTTAAATCTGATAAGATATCGTTTGTAGATTTTCCCAAGTGTCCACACCAGTACAGTATCACCATGAACTTCCGGGTATACATATGGTAAAAGAGACACATTCTGTGCCTTCATGCAAAAACAACTGTTTAATGAATCCCAGCATATAACAAATCCTCCAAGTTGCTCTCACCCTACAACATGCCCGAGACTGAAATCCCAAGATAAAAAGTCACAATCAGAAGTATCCCTATACCAAGCAGCCATCGCATTCCAACAAGATATATTCAAAATCGCTTCACCTGGAGAGGGTTAGGAAATGACCAGAAAGGGGGGGGAAGAGGATGTTAGAGCTCACCTTCATGGTTATTTCTCGTCACCATTGTCATCCATGTATCACAAAGCCAACATGACCACTGCCGTGCAGAATAACACAGCAATCATCATCACTGGGCCTGGCAGGAGTTAGACAGTGCTCCTCAAAGTTCCTTTGTAGAATGATACGCACCTTCCCGTCCAGCCCATAAGCTTGCAGCTGCAGATGCGGATTCGGATTCGGATTCGGTTGAATTTGGCGTGCCCAAGTTCGAGGCAAGAGCCCTGGCAAGCTTGTCGCCCATAGTTCTCAGGGTGTCGAAATCTGTGATATACGTCTTGTCCATGACGTTATCAGGGAGAACAGCACGTTCGCCAGTGAAAAGAATATCTTTACAGTTCGTGAGCAGCTCCTTCTTTGGGAGGTTTAGCCGGCAAGAACACTTACAAGTAACATCTTTAGACGAATGGGCATTGTTTCCCTGGAGATTATCGTTGGGGAAGCATGTCTTCGCCATCAGCCATGACGCTTCACCGGTAATTTGGGGGTCATCCCCATTAGAGTCGCCGAGGATCCCATAGTACATCTTTCCATTACTGAGAATCGCCGGTTAGATGGGTATTGGTACAAGGGAGGGGGAACATACCAAATCACAGCCGCAATATTATTTCCTGGCAGAATATCCTTATTTGCAGCTAGGAACCTATCGGGGATCACGATGTAAGGCACTGCATATGCAGACAGAGCCCCCCAATTTGTCTGGGGCTGGCCATCTTGGTTTCCCTGGAAGAAGCATATCAGAGGATGTAAATGTGTCACAGACGGCTTGCCAATTACCTCGCATTTATGGTTAACTCCATCGCAATCCACGTCCATATCAGCTACCCAGGACAAAGCAGCACCCTAGAGTTCAGGAGGTCAACAGTGAGTCTACTGGGGCGAGGCTCTTCGATTCAACACACCTCTTTGAAGGATACCCAGTCGCTGTGTATGGTAGACTTTTCCGAGCTACCCAGGCTAAAGGGGTATGTTGCATCCTTCGGAACTACGCTAGCTGCTGCAGCTGCTGCCTGAAGGACTGAGACCGGCAGCGAGTCTGCTGCAGCAAAATCTGCGGCCGGCGGCCCATGACTGGGGTTATTGAAAGCCGACATATCGGCCGTCTTACCCAGGCAGAAGCTCCCGAACATAAGATAGAGAGCCGAGGGACTCACGGTGGTCTTCGACGCCATCGTTTTGTACAGTGCGGACGCAAGTATTAGTTGAAGTAAGGGGGCGGGTGGAAAGAACGCGAATAAGATAAGGTAGAAATGGGTATGTAGAAGAGTTGAGGCTCTGGGAGAGAAGAGAGATTAAAGTCTAGTAGCGAGGATAAATTAATTACCTTGGATTTCGTCACTTAGGGTCATGATTTGACGAGGAACAGTTTCCAAGGGTCGCGCTCAGGATATTTTTGCTTCTTGTCATAATTCCTTCATTGGCCAAGGCTGCCGAGTAACACAAACCCCCTTTATTTTTTATTTTTTTTTTCCTTTTCTTGGTCTTCTAGAATGCATTTGTTATGGTATAAAGTGGTCTGGGTTAGGGCACCAGAAGCGCAGTCATCGTAGTTAGTCATTAATCCTTCCCCGGATTGTTATTTTTTCTATGTTTTTTTATGACGTTCTCCCAGACAAATCTGGAGGTCATTGCCTAGTCATGCATGACTCTACTGAAAAGACTCAAAGAATACGTATTCCACACGTACTATAACTACTGCTCTGTTGTGCATGGAAGCAAGAGATTAGTCATGATCGTTATGCTCGTTCATTAAGTGCTCCATTTATTCCTATCATGCCAAGAACTTACTAAACTACCGAACGGGCCTTCATTTCACTAGGCCGATATAACTGCCTTCCTTCTAGGCAGCCTAGTTTGTCGGGATTTTACCGTCTTTTACGTGAAAGAGCGTGTGTGTGAGAGCATCATCGTCAAATCTCCTCCACCATGTCCAGAGATTCGTCCCCAAATCGGGTTCGACTACCCACAAAAATCCTCCATGAATTGGGACTGCTCTCCCTCTGGAAATCCTCGCTAGATGTGAAATTGCTTTGCGCCCAGCGATTTGTTCGGTTGTTTGCTTATGGTGGCTCGACGCTCATCTTAGCCTCGTACCTATCCTCGTTAAACATATCCGATGCCCAAATTGGTCTCTTCATGACCTTAACTCTGGTCGGCGATGTGGTCATTAGCTTCTTCCTGACCCTTTTCGCAGATGCGATGGGCCGCAAAGCTGTTCTGCTACTAGGCTCAGCTTTGATGGTAGGCAGTGGTGTCATTTTCGCTGTATTCGACAATTTCTGGATTCTTCTGGCAGCAGCAGTTCTTGGGGTGATCAGCCAAGGTAAGCCTTGAGAATTCGTTCGAGTGCTTTATATATAGATTCGCTTACCTGGCCAACAGTGGAAATGAAATTGGGCCCTTCCGAGCCGTTGAAGAGTCCACCCTGGCTCATCTTACGCCTCACGAATCCCTGAGCGATATATTCGCCTGGTATTCTCTGATCGGCACCGCAGGCACGGCCCTGGGCATGATGGCCTGCGGGTGGGCCATCAATCTCTTACAGGTTAAACGGGGGTGGCAATTCATTGCTGCTTGCCAGGTAATCTTTTTTGCGTACGCAGCTATTGGTGCTCTCAAATGCATTCTCGCTGCTGCCTTAAGTCACCACGTGGAGGCAGAGAAACAAAAACCTGCTGAGCGACAAGATCAGCAAGGCGAGAACGGTGAGACCCAGCCTCTCCTGGGCGAGAGGACCCGCGGCGAACAGCCTCCAAAGAAGACAAGCTTCTTTTCTTTCCTGGGTGACAGGGATCTCGTGGCATTGGTCGTCAGACTCTTCATTCTATTTGCTCTCGACTCATTCGCGTCGGGCTTGGCAACTTTGTACGTACCTCATAGGATCGCCGTGCCAGTGCTTTATAATTGCTGCAGAAAGCCATACTAACGGCTGCAGGTCGTGGATGACATATTTTTTCAAACGCAAATTCTCCCTGCCGGAGGGTGAGCTCGGTTCCATCTTCTTTACTACAAGCATTATCTCCGCTGCGTCGATGTTGGTCGCCTCTTCCATTGCCAAGCGCATTGGCAATGTCAAGGTAGGGACATAGTACAGGAATATTATGTGGAAGGTACCAAAGCTAATCATGAGGTACAGACGATGGTCTTCACCCATCTCCCTTCAGCCATCTGTCTGGCTCTTATTCCGGTTCCGAACATATTACCTCTAGCCCTGACCTTCTTGGTGCTCCGAGCCTGTACCCAGAACATGGATGTGGCACCGCGCTCGGCTTTCCTCGCTGCGGCGCTTCCCTCGGACAAGCGCACCGCCATCATGGGTGCCGTCAATGTGGTCAAGACAGGCAGTCAGAGTCTAGGGCCACTTATCACCGGGGTGCTATCGAATCATGGTCTGTTTGGTCTTTCCTTTACCCTTGCGGGTATTTTGAAGGCCGTCTACGATATCGGCATGCTACTCAGTTTTGCCGGGACGGAGCCAGTCCGTCGCCCGAGATCTGCTCCAGATAGCGAAAGTGCTTGAGTCACACTTGAGCTGAAGGCCTCGCATTGGTGGGTGTGTCGATGCGACTATGCATTTTGATGAGTGCGACAGCTTATGTCCGCAGTAAAAGGCAGCAGAAGACGGAGGTATAGTTGGGAAAGTGCATTGTATTGATTTTTGTCCTACACATTCAGACCAGCATTATCGCAGCAAGCCCAGAAACATGACTGTATCTAGGTTACTAATGTTTTGCTAGAAAAGTTCTCCCAACAGACCCCAATTACAATCTCTCAATGAATGTGACCTTCTGAATCAGCCGTCTCAGTTTGTTTCCTGATTGTAAGTAACCAGTCACGCCAAATTCACCTCCAACAATATATTTGGAATCGCAGTACTATTCACTGGCATCGAGTACGTGAGATTCCAGTACATGAAGTCACTGGGGGTATGTTAGCCTCCGTGGGTCAAGTCCAAGTGGTCAGGCAACATACTTGATGGTAGCATCGCTTGCACTGTATGATACCCTCAGCTTCGGGTCAAAAGTGCCAGACACTCTGACATCTAATCCTACAAGATCTTCCCAGCCTGCGACATCCTTCTTTTGGGTAAACGGAGAGACTAAGAATTGGAACTGGGAGTCTGGAGTTCCCTGGGGATAGGTTAGGTTAAGATAACCCGGACCCACGACTGCGTCGACAGCCTTCTCTGTTGCATATAACTATAAGATATTAGGTAGGAGTCCTTTGGTGCCTCCTCGAGTAGGGAAGGGGGCGCATACTGTAATCCAACCAATTCCAGCTCCAGTATCCCACTGGACCACCGCCGAGTTGAATGTAGACGGATTCATAGCCGGCCCGCCTATCACAGTCTCATTGAAACTTTCTGCTCCCACACTTATCCTTTCGCCTAACCACACACTGATGTTCCGGGTGGAATAGTCGTAGGGGATTGACTGTGCTGAAGTGGTGACCATGTGCTCCCCAGGGAAGGTCCTTAGAGCATCTACTGCTGTGGCCGGGACCAAGGAGTTATGAAAGCTTGAGAGGATAGCCACAAGCGGAGAAATGGCAAAGTCAGCGTTATGAGACATCATGTAAACCTAGTCGGTTAGCCTCGAGAAGACCAGGAAATAGTAAGCATCTGATACCTTGTCAATCACAGGTGAGGTTTCCTTCCCAACAAGGGTCCAGATGTGCGCGGACATGATTCCGAAATACTTCTGCATGTCGAATCCATAAGAGCGGTCCCATGGACCTGCAAGGTTCTTGAGCTCTGCGTGATATAAATCACCAATATTTCTCCAGGTCGCTTGCAGCATTTCCTTTCCTTTTGCTTTCATCACCGAACTTTCTGCAGCGTACTTTGTCCACATCGTCAGCGCAATCAAAGAGACACCAGTATACGTCGCGCTATTGAATTCCGATAGAGTGTTGGCTCGGTCGAAAAGATCAATAATCTCATTCGCATAATTCTCACCGGCCAGCGTCATGTTGGCATCTGCGTATCTCTTGCCGGTCCAACCACTCACGATGGCTCTCATCAATGCCTTCATCAATGGTTATTAGACAAACTAAATCTTTGCACAACATGAAGCCAAGTCGTCTCTTACCGGATTGGTATATGAGGGATACAGATTGTCACCGTCGACTCCTCCCACTCGGTAGCTATCTCCAATGGTGCTATTGTAAAGGGATTCGAGCATGAGTTGTGTCAAATCGGGGCTGACCAGATGGGGAAACTCCTCCAAGGCGATGATAAAGGCCGTCCCAATAAAGCCTCTCCAGTTGGGATCCCAAGTGTCATAGAGCTCGACTGATACGCCGCAGTACCCACGGTGGGTTCCTCAGGGTACACAGGGTAATCCCCATACCTGTCTAGGTGAGCAGGCAGTCGACACTTTACGTTCAACCACAGACCCACCATTGATCCGTAGGGTCCTTGAACTGCGCTTCGATCACATTCTGGATGATTGCCATCGCCTGCGTCACATCATCATTCTGGTCCCGAGCCAACAAGCCCACTGCGTACCAGACGGACGCCCTTGTGTCGTGCCGCAGAGCTGTGGCCGCACTAGGACTGAAGACATACGCGGCTGTCGGGTCATATATTCGGTCTAAATAGTCCATCGATTCTGAAAAGAGCTGGCATGTCTCTTCGGACCACATTTCAGAGCACAAGCTACCCCAGGCAGTCGTCGTGCATGCTGCAAGTACTAGGGCCCGGCAGATGATTGACTTCATATTCAACAACATCCCTTGATTCAAGTAAAACGCGCGCAATGAGTGTTTGGGACACTGCCACCAGAGGGGGGCAGCTGGGCCGAGTTATAAATACTACGTACGTACATTTCCCCGGTAGGCGGGTCAGTTCTACAAGGCTGTGGGAATGGCTCCAGTCAACTAGATCAATCTTTTTACTACAAGAGCTACATTAATTGGTGCGAAATCATACCACAGAAATTTGTCCGGTACGGCGGAGCTTGTCGTTTACAGTTTAGTACATAATTTTATATGTATGTGTTTAAAAATGGGTACAAATTATCGGAGTTCGTCCGATGTTCCTCACATCACAACATCAACTTAAACGCAGGGTTTCTGTCATCATTATAACCCATGTACTGTGCGTATTTACCCTTCTTCTTGTCCCTGTTGACCTTGGCACAATAGAAAATGTTGAGAAGTACCCTACGATGAAAGGTTAGTCGTCAATGGTCATCTCGATCAAGCATAGCATGCATGTACTTACATGAACCATGCAAAAACAAGGAGGCCTAGAATGATAGTGTGACCACGGTGATACTGGGGTTTGTCCTTGTCAGGATAGTTGAACGCTAGTCGCTCGTTAGTGCATAGCTTTCTGGGAGGCCCACAACTAGGCCAACTTACTAGCAACAAAGCCACCGCAGTTGGCGATCGTCAGCTGCATCGCTGACGTTGTCGCACGCTTGTAGTGTCCAGCTGAGTTATTTGTATTCCACACCAGAATACATGGGACGCTACTATACATGCCAGTGGCCATAAGGAAGGTCATTCCATACTTGACTTTGGCAGACTGGATATTGGCAATAGCTGCGTACCCAGCAATGGCAATAGGCAGAGTGAAAAGCATAATAAGACCTCGCAGCTTCAAGCGATCCGAGATAAGAGCCACAAATACTGTTGCTCGTTAATCCCATAATGATCGTGGTCCATGGTTTGCTTGACCTACCTGTTAAGACAGCTGCGACAGCATATGGAATCACCGTCCACAACTGCACGGCATTTGGGTCAGTTGTAAAGCCGCTTTCGTCAATAATAGTAGGTAGCTAGATAAGGCCAGGCCTCCGATCAGTTATCTCCGGGAAAAGTTTGTAGAACAACCCAACATACAAACAGCCCGAACGAGTATAATCCGGACAATATGGCAAAATACGCCGCTGCAGAAAACCACATCTGGGGTTCTAGCAGTCCCCTTCGCACTTCAGACCATCTCAGGGTCTCCAATTCATCTCCAGAGGAGCTTCTTTCCTATCAGCATAACTGCTTGTACAGGGGGAAACAAAAAAGAAATCAATCAATCAATAATTTGGGGGGGGAGGGGCGCATTCGTAGCATGTCCGGCACAAACCCTGCAAGTCATACGGAGCAGAGAGGTAAACGTACGTCTGAGGTGCGGATGGATTATCAAGCATAATCCTTTCCTGTGCAAAGGATCGTTCTTCGGGGGTCAGAAACGTCGCTGTTTCTAAGCTATTTGGAAGGCCAGCATAACTGAGGCAGCCGCATAAGAATGTCTGTTTAATGTTAAAGCGAGCCAGTGCCATCTTTCTCATGTATAACAGTGCCTACCAGTAGCCCCTCAATAATCAGAATCCAACGCCAGCCTTCCAGTCCGCCCCGAGGGCCAATTTCAGCCAATCCACGAGCTAAAAGCCCTAGTATTGATCATCATATGTGAGTTCCATGGAAAATATAGGGAGGAGATCAAGTTCATAGAAAATTATACCTCCAAAAGCACCAGATAACGACGCAGCGGTGTAAAACAATCCAATGCGCAAGGCTAGGTCCCCTCGTCTGTAGAAGAATGATAGATACAGTACCTAATGGTATCAGCCTCGTATAACGAAGGGCAAGGAAGAGCATGCCTACCATCCCAGGGAGTAATCCTCCCTCCGCAATGCCCAGAATAGCACGGACAGCCACAAACCCCGCAAAATTGCGAACAAAGCCGAGGCACATAGTGATGATACCCCAAACCATAGTGAGAAACGGTAGCCAAATTTTCGGTGACGCCTTCTTCAGGATGAGGTTACTCGGGAGTTCGCTGGCGTCAGCAGTGCTCCGGTTAGCCCAAACAAATTGTGGCGCATAGATATACATGCGATGATGTTGGCTCTTCACATACCTGCATATGTAGGTCAGATAGAAAACTGCCAAGCCTATATCATATTGATGACCAGTGATATTGAGGTCGCTCTCGAGGCCGAGGATCTTCGCATTGCCGACATTTGTACGATCCAAGAAAGAACATAGGAAAAGCAGGGCTAAGATTGGGAGAATCCTGTCGAGACAATTTCTCAGCACTTCTGTGGTTTAGGGTGCCGGGCTCTATGTATGCTACCTTGTATCCAATTTGAAAAGAATACTCCGGATCAACCTCTTCTGGGCCATGTCGCCAGCATTTTCTCCCGTAAGTCGTGTGGGCTTCGCATCTTCAACCAATTCTGTGCTTTGCTTGATGGACTCCATGGTGATACGGGCGTAAGATTACCATCAAAGTTCTTCGAGAGCGAGTCAGGATGAGACAAATGTATGAGATACAGAGAGATATATAAAAGGAATGCGACAGATGTGGACCGTCATTCTCGGAGGCCACTTTTGACAACCGATTCTCCCTGGTGGCCATTTTTGGCGTCGAAGTAAAGGAAAAAGGAGAAGTAAACAAACGAATACGGGTTTCTTTCCCCGCATTTTCTTTTCCTTTGCTTCTCCCCAGGCCAAGAAGAAAGCTTAGCGTGGGGTAGGTATTTGTACCATGCATACTGTAAAATAATGCATGTACTGTGTACATAATATGCACGGAGTATGTATGTATGTATGTATGGTACCGTACATTCGATTGGACGGGTATCGGCGCCACTCGGGACCAAGTCTCATCGGTATCCATTTCTAGTGCCGAGGCATCAATCCGAGAATCAAAACATGAATAGGTTCATCCCCCGCCCTCTTTCCTCTTCAACTTTCCTCCAACCACAATTTCTCCGACTTTGACTTTGAGTGAATCAGAACAACATGCCCAAGTTACCCAACAGTTTGAAAGCACTGATCAACGCCCCAAAGGCACGCCCAAATACGGTTCCAGCTCCACCCAACATCCGATCCATTTACCAGAAGATTCAACAGACGGCACAGTCGAACAATGTCTCGCAGCCATCCTGCTAGCTTTGTCGGTTAGTACTGCGCTCTCGGTTTTCATACCGCCAAAAGGGGAAGAAGACACATCCACGCCAGAAAATACTCATTTCCTCTCAGACAGCCGCCACGATGACGATGAACTCCCCCGAGTCCCTTGCCATTCTCTTCCAATTAGCCACAGCTTCCCAGCCCATCGATGAGGGTGTAGCTGTTGCTGAATTCATGCGGGAGGTTGGCCTGAAATGTATTAGCTTCAATGGCATCCCTCGCACCATCAACTGTCTCAACACCTTCAAGGCCAGCCTTCCGGATTCAGTCACTGCGAAACTGTCGCGGTCTCCTACCCGAGCCCCAACGCCGGAGAATATAAATGAGATCGCCCACCGCGGCCGCGCTTTGTGGGACTCAATTTATCGCCCATTTGAGTCAAAGCTATATAGCAAATTAGCCGATTCCCACCCTGACCTACCCATCCATATCATGAACAGTCATTATGGAGCTCTCTTGTCAGATCCGGCTAATCGAAGTACTGGTGCAAATGCCGGTAGAATTTCAACTTCAATAGTCGCCGTTGCATGCCTGCGTGCTCAAACAGGCGTTGGCCCGCAAGTGACATCACACGTATTTGGGCTGCGCAAAGCGCTCGAGGATGGGACCTGGGTGGGCGACGTCGAAAGCGAGGAGGGGGCTAAATGGCTTGCAAGTGACGAAGGCAATACTTGGATATTGAAGAGCGTGGATGATATCGTAGAGTCGATCAGTGAAGGGACAGGGTCCAATTTCGCCCCGTCTAGGGGCTCCAAACTCTAAAATACAGCGAGCTCGTAAAGCTCAGTCTCCATTATGGTACTGCACATATATAATCACGGTTGATTTACACCGCGTCACAGCTTTCGAACATGGATATCTATATATTTACCTAAAACTACGAGCATACCTCAAAGGAGAAAGGTGAAATTAGGCAATCACTTTTCGTGCGTCACAGATCCCCAGGTCTACAATATCACTCCATAAGCTCCAGTTGCTTCGCCACGGTGAACTTCGCCCCCGTCTTGCTCTGGACTTCCTCGACCTCGACACCGGGAGCAAGCTCCGTCAACAATAGTTCTCCCTTGTCCCGATCTACCTGGAAAACGCACTGTAACCAAAGTCAGTCCATCTATTCGAATACTCGTCCTATTCACCTCTCCTTACCAAATCCGTTATAATTGTGCTCACGCAATTCGCACCGGTCAAAGGCAACTCGCACTCTGACACAATCTTTGGGGATCCATCCTTGGCCGTATGACTGGTAGCTACCACGATCTTCGTTCGGTCAGGGTTGGAGATCAGATCCATGGCTCCTCCCATACCCTTAAAGACCTTACCAGGAATCATGTAATTCGCTAAGTCGCCATTTGCGCTGACTTGCAGAGCCTGTAGGGTAGTTAGACAAACCTCGTCTCTATAAAGGCCCACAAGTGAGGAATAGTTTCACAAACCCCTAAGATGGAAACATCTACATGCCCGCCCCGGATCATCCCAAATGATTCGCTACTGTCAAAGGTTGCAGCGCCAGGAACCAGAGTAACGGTTTCTTTCCCAGCATTTATAATATCTCTGAGGGGAGGATATTAGACGAGAAGGGAATGATGATCGAAATGAAACACTCACGGATCAACTTCGTCTTCGGTGGGATATGAACCCTTGTTTTAGTCAGCTGTCATTCTAATGTTTTGATGGATCATTCAAAGCCCAACGTACCATGCCCAGAAGCCCATTCTCGGACTGTACCCAGACCTTGACACCTTCTGGCAAAAAGGATGGGGCGAGTGTAGGAATCCCTATCTAACTATGAGCCGCAGACACACTATGAAGGGCTGGTTCGCACTGACCAACGCCTAAGTTGACGTAGTATCCCTGCTTGAGCTCTTTCGCTGCCCGCTTAGCAATTCGGTTTCTCTGCACCATGGCAGCGTCCTTGGTCAGTTGCACAGCACCAGCGTCATCGGTGGACCGCAGCTTTTTGATTTCAATAGACTTTGGGACCGTGGCGGGAACAATCCTATCCACAAATATTCCCGGCAAGTCCACATCGTCGGGGTCTATAGAGCCCACGGGGACAATGTTCTCGGCCTCGACAATTGTAAGAGTAGCCGCCTTTGCCACGAGCGGACTAAATGCCTTGGTAGTGTAACTAGAAACATTTAATATCAGTATCGCATGGCTATGCTAGATCGAGATCATACGCACCGGAAAACACAGTTTCCAGCCTCGTCTGCCTTCCATGCTCGAAGGATAGCAACGTCACCAGTGAGGGCACTTTCCATTAAATAAGTCTTCCCATTGAAAATCCTCGTCTCGCGAGGCTTGCCATGCTCCAGAACTTTGCCGGATTTGTCTAGACGGACGGGGATCTGTCCCTCCTGAAGGAATGTGTCTAAATTTGGTGGGCACTTATCAAAACTTGGTCATATTCAACCATGGGGTGAACAGGAAAACGCAAATAGTCAAACGGGAAGAGAAAAAGGAAAAAAGACACTTACGAGCTCCTGTAGGAGTAAAAAACGCAGGTATTCCTGCGCCGCCCGCACGTAGCCGCTCCGCCAACGTTCCTTGGGGGCACAGCTCGATAGCAATATCCCCCGTCAAGTATTTCTTCTCCAAAGCTTTGTTGTTTCCGAGGTAAGACAATATCAATCGATTTACCTGGCCAGCTTGGGTCAGCGTAGAAAGGCCTCCTCTCCCTGGGGCACCAGCATTATTCGAAACCGCGGTCAGGGAATGTAAGTGCTCGGGCCCCCGGCGATGAATAGCAGATATAATAGTTTCTACGGTAGGAACATATCAGCCCTAGACTTTGTTTCCAGACACAAACCATGTATAATCACCTGCAACACCACAAAGTCCAAACCCTGAGCTAAGGATGGTAGATCCGCTTCTAAGGTCTGCTACAGCATCATCCGCATTTCTGAAAAGTTTCGATGCAGCACGGTCGATTTCCGGCATTCGCACCGGTTGCTCCGCCGTAGCTGTTGAGTACTGAGCAGATTTCCTAATATCCGTCCGACGCAACAGTGGCACACTGGATCTGTAGTATGTCTTTGATTGGAACCATGGCCGAGCGACTGGGAGCGCTCTCCGCGACAATGGCAACACTGAAATCCGTAATGTCGTCATTATCATTGTCTTCGGTAGAATGCCAATAATCTTTCACTCAAGGCCTTTGGAGAATAGAATTTAGAAAGGGGAAAAAGAAAGGAAAACAAGACAGGGCAATTGAAGGGAATGGAGTGCAAGAGCTTTGTTTTGTGAGGCAACGGATCGGCACTCGGAGCTACTTCTGGACACCGACGGGATGGGGGATCGGCTCCTTTTTCCCCTCAGTGTTGTTAGAAGCCGAAGTCAGTTACATTTCCAATGTCCAACCAGTCCCAACTCATTATATCGTCCAGTGGAACATCCGGCACGCCCGTCCCGAAGGTGATGCCCGCTCGGTTCACAGCATCGATGATCTGTCCATCAGACATAGCAGAGAACTGCAGCGGCTCTGACCAAAGCAAAGGTGAAAATGACGGTTGCGACACTGGCGGCACAGTGCCGTACCCATCAAAGGCTGATGGTGATCTCAGGGTCGCCTCGGCTGGCATCCGTGGTTCGTTCTGATTCTCGGAGCCTCGTCGAACTAGCTCTCTTAGATACCGTCCGTAAAGCACAGACGCACCGTTCCTATGACTAGGGGTCGCCCCAATACGCTCCAGCACGCCTGCAGTTTCCTCAATCAAAGTCCGTACACTTGGGGCCAGGCTGGATCTGGTATCAGTTGGCGCCACACTGAGGCTGAGGGCAGAGCATGCGGCAAATGAAATCATAATGACCGTGTTGTTCGGCATCGATTTTAATCGTGATTCTCCTTGGATGGCTGCCCTCATTACATTCAGCGCTGAGGAAAGGCCGGCCGCTCGGAAGAAACGCTTTACCTCAAGTGGCGCCGTGGGGTGATTAATCACGCCACCATACGTTGATAATCGCGTGTGGGTAACTAGAATTTCCACGTACGGTGGAAGGGAATACGCTTTGCCCTGAATCAGCTCTCCTCCAAGCAAAAGACTGCCTGGTTCAACAACGACCAGCAAACTTACATTGACCTTCTCCAATCGCCGGCCCCCATGTTTCATACCAGCGATCATAGAAACTTTCTATCATGGTCTTAATCCTGGAACCTTCGTTAGCAACCCATTTGATCAACACGTGGCTAGGATTGTGTATACGATTGAGCAGCTTCTGAGCCAGCATCGGTGACCTGGTAGTTATCGCAACTGGACTTGACCTTCTTGAATAGATCATCCTAATATAGTATTTATTAAGACGCAAGATCGACCAACCAAAACGTAGCAGAATAACATACCAGGTTTCTTCGGAGGGCAGCCATCGAATTCATGGGCCCATCACGCGCATCTGCAAAGTTCGAGACATGCCATCGGTCACAACTTACGATGAGAGAAGTCTGGGGGACAGTGTAGCTCCTTCCACGAGCTAAACATACGCTGTAGGGGTACATTAGTTATAGAGGGGCGGATTGGTATACAAAACTCAGAGCAGGACTACTTACCCTCGTTCTAAAACGAACAAAGCAATCCAGGTCCTTTCGCGTCGTCGCAGTAGCCTCTGGCCCCATTCCGAGTTTGGATCGACATTATCGAAGCCATCCATGTGCAATGCTCTCTTTGCATCAATACAGTCGGCCTTGGCAAGCCGTCTTATAACGCCGTTGTCAAAGCTAGTAGACGGTAAAACAATCTTATTTAGAGACAAATCCAGTGCAATGGCCAGAGCCATGGCAATGTAGGAGCAGGTGTCGTCGTCACCCAAGTAATTACCATGGGCCATCCAAGGAACATTCACCATGAAAGCCAAAACTATCTCAACCGATCTGAAACGTTTGGCTATGACCATCTGAGCCAACGATTTACAGTGTCTGGACAGTCTCTTCGATAGCGCGGCCGCTGACGGTAAGAACAGAGCAGCCGCAGCCATTATTGATGTGAAAAGGAAAGCCGACTGTGAACGTACAAAAGACGCAGTATGGACGACGGGGTCAAGACCCCATCGAGTATGAGCAAGGTCTTGATAGAAACTAGAAAGATGCATGAGCCCAGGTTATTTGATGAATACGAGGGCAGATATGTAACCATACAAGGCAAAAAGAGACTCGGCTTCATCGAGGGTGACGAGGCCTAGCTCGACGGGGTCCATGTCTGAACCAAGGTCCAAATGCGCCTTGACGGGGACAAAAAACAGTCTAGCCGTGGAGGAATCGTCTTCTGCGTTATTATTTTGTGGTAGTGCTGTTGGCTGTAGTGGCTCCAGGGGACGCCATCTCTGGAAACTACGCACTTCAGCCGGTGGTAGCTGAAGGTCAGACGCGCGCGCCAGTAGTTGCAGTGGGTTCTCAGCATCGTCCAGTGACAAACTGTCACCTGTATCAACCCCGTGGGGAGAATGGGGGTTGCGTGCCCGGTCTGTGTCCTCTGATAGTTCATCGGCCTCGGGGTACAGCTGGTTACCTTGTGTCTTGTTCAGTAAATCGTGGAGATTGGATATGATTTTCTGTGCAGCATCAGATTCGGGCGCATCAGACTTAGGTCGCTTGAGAGCCTGTTCTATTTGATGTAACGCCTTCTCAAGGCCTTTACGTTTGCTAAAAATTGAAATAAGTATCAGCCGGGTCCATAGTACAACAGCATACAGGTCTGTACTTTTTGACTCCTTTCTGCCGGCCAACATGGTGACTGGGCACGATACATTCCGCAGCGGCCTGCCTGCACCTATCACAGCCTGCATCCCCTGGCGTGCGGTTACATCGGACCTTGCTCTTTCTGCAGTTGAGACATGCCGCCTGTCTGGCATGGGATGTCTTGTTGAGACTCGGTGTCGTTGCTGTGTCATCCATCCTCTGCACAGGATAACAAGCATTCACCCTTGTCCGTGCGAAGAGACTTCAAGTGTCTCCAAGCGTTAGATGTGGTTAGGTATGGTTACTATGGTGTATGAAAAAGGTAATTCATTGGCCTGTGATATGTGGATGTGGTGATAACTATCGAATGGCAGATCAACGGAGCGTCTTCAGAAGGTTAGGGCTACTTTATGTGACGGGATGGATTCCCCGGCAAGTAGCCGGACGTGTTCACGTTAGGTGGGGTGCCTAGGCAGGCCGGATGTACGCAGTATTGGTACTAAAGAGTGATGGGGGACTGCGGAGGTTAGAGGGTAGATAGTGCGCTCTGGGTGGGGTCAGGGACAGAGAACTAAATTTACTACATCCAAAAACAGTTAGAGGCAGAATAAACAAAAAAAAAGTTCAAAAAAAATGAAGCCGACGCGGGGGTCGAACCCGCAACCTTGAGATACCGTGAAGACTAAGAGTCTCACGCTCTACCGATTGAGCTAGCCCGGCTGTTCTTACAAGAGCCATGATTGTATATTGTTATATAAGGCAAAATAAACAAGTTTTCATTCTCCTGTGGTCTTCTCGTATTCCTTTGTACTAGTTCGTGGAAAGCATGCAGAAATAATAGCCTGGAGGCGGCGCCTTTGGGTTTAAATTGAAATATTTGATTGTAGCAATAGAATAGTTGTGGATGACTCTACCTATTCTTGACTTACTATCTGGCCTTACAAATTTTATACTAAAAGGTAGTCGAAATATATAGTTTCCTCTCACAATGAGAGACGAAATCGAGCTCTAAGACCTTATCCGGGCCTCGCAAGCTATGGACAGCACTACAAATCTCGGGCAGTTCTATGCGATCAAGATAACAGAATCGTAAGCCTGGCTGTTGCCTTCACTCAGAAGGAAGAAAACAAAGGACAAAGAAAAAATCAAAAGAAAGGAAGAGGAAAAGAAGACACCAGGTACTCCGAGTATACATTGAAGTCCAAACTTGAACCTACGCCAAGCCTTCACCCATAAGAGACCAATACATGATAGACAGAAGAGGGGAGGGGAAGTCCTGGAAAAAACAAGCGCCCTGATAACAAACGTGAACAGGTGGGCATAACTTCGTTAAAGTCCGCACGATAGTAGCAAAGCTAACAAATGGCGGTCGCATCCGACCAACCACGCAGCAACGGAAATTGCTGACAAGAGAGACGGACATGAAGAGGGAGTTGAAGGATCAGCTCGCAGCCCTTAAAGCTCGTAGCCTGGCGCCCAAGCCATCCTCGAGGTCTGCCTCAGCTTCTTTCTGATTCTTGACGTCCTCTTTGGGGGCGGCGTCTGCATCCAGAGCCATGCGTAGGTCCACGCCCGCATCATCCGCAAGCTGCTCCATAAGGCGGTCAACGTCGGCTTCACCCTCAGCACCGTATTCTCGCATAGAGACGCCCTGTGCAACATCCTCAATTGCACTACTAGCGATTTTGAAATCCTCGGAGCGTGCTAAAAAGTTGTTCGCATGGGAGACTAACGCCTCAAGATTCACGCTCTTAGACGCAGCATCTAAGCCCCGAGATGCTAGGGCTAAAGTGCGAGACGTATCACGAGTACTTTGTGCTGCCTTGAGCTCGTTGATGATAACATCTGCGCGGGCTGCTTCCTCCTTGAGGGTTACCTGTCTTCGTTTCTCGCGTACTGCAGAGGCAGCGTGGATGCGGGCGATCTGGAACTCGCGATTTTTCATGGCCTTGTCTGCTTTTGCCTTCTCAGATTTGAAAGTCGATTCGGCGCGAGCGGCCTCTTTCTTAAGCCGGTTGGAGTGTAACTGTTAACCAAGGAAGTTGGGTTAGTCAACTATATAAACAGAAGCGAAAGCAATGAAATATATAGCCAACAGGTAGGAAAAAGGAGGGGTGATGGGGTAAATAAAAAAACAAAAAAAAAAAAAAGGGAGATGGAGGAGACTGAGAATCCACCTACCTTCACATTAGTACGAGCTTCGAAGATGGGATCCTTCCGAACCATATTGTCGGTCTCTGGACTTCGAAGGCTATATATACTATGGCAGCCTGCAATGATTGGTTGTGGGGAAATAAAAAAAGAGATGAGAAGAAGTAGCAGCAAGTCAAGACGCTGAAAGAGAGATGCAAGAAAGGCGAAGAGGGGAACCTAAAGGGAAAGCGGGAGGCAACATGGGCTCAGTTTCAATATCGGAACCTAGAAGAGAGGGGCCCTTTGCGTGGCAACGTCATCCGAATTTCCGCATGAAATGGTTACAAACTAACATGACCAATATCCCTACGCCTATCCTTGAGTTTCCAACGATCGTGGGACAGCATTTGTCGTCGCTTATAAAGAGAATCATGCCTTCTTGGAGTGGCTGCGTTGCGACTGTCAAAGCGTATATGTAGGAAAAATACAGGAGAAACGAAAAATTAACACTGAACCCGCTCAGTTGCTAGCGGTCTCTTTATTTGAAATCATTCAAAAATTATTATACACATAATAGGCCCTCAGCAATCCTTGCCCGTAAGCGGAGACGTCAACGTCTCCGTCTTATTTGAACTCCATAAACTCCGGATATTCACCTGACGCTTCCCTAGATTATTGCGCCGCTCAATCTGCGATGTCTTCAAACCATGTAAAATTCGTCTGCGTCGTCCCGGGCTCTCAAGTCGGTCTATCGCCCATGATAAGGTTAGGAGCGACTCCCAGCTCCACCGAACCCCCTGGGTATCGGTGACCGACATGCTTCCCTGAGAGAACCTTTCGCTAACAGCCAGCTGCAATGCCCTGCCCGTCGCATCGCGTAGTGGACGCGCCAAAGCTGGGTTGCACGCTAGAAGTCTTGCAAGAAGTCTCATCCGGAAGCCCGTGGGCCATCTCGATGCCTTCGAGGGCGACGGGTTCGGAGTCGAAATTAACCAAAGAATCAAATGGAAATGCTGATAGATCTCCTCCCTCGAGAACATCAAAGGCAAGCCCGTCTTCAAAGACAGAAGAATCTGGTTCAACGGATGAATCACCGTGGAATAAGCGGTTGAAGTCATCGTCAGAAAGAGGAGCTGCAACGTCATCTGTAGGGTGATATTTAAGGTCTGAGCCGAGGTCGAAAAGTGGGAGGGCGCTTCCATCTCCTTCGAGTCCAGCGACGGACACTGCAGGTCACACAACACCGCTGCAGGATGTTGTGCCACGTCGGAGGACTCAGCCAGAGTGGAAGGCTTCAAGGTAGGGGAGTAATCGCTAAGAGAGGGAGTGGGAAACGGGATGCGTTCGAGAGGAAGTTCGTCACGCTCTTGTTTGAACAATGTAGGTGTAAGGGTGGGAGATGCTGTCGCTGGAGAGCCTGGCATTGGAGTGTTGGCACGAGAACCACGGACCTCAGCAGCCAATTGAGCAAGCTGTTGGCTTAAGCGATTGTTCTCCGCTTCCATCTGAGATAACCGCTGAAGCAGGAACTGATTCTGTTGTTCCATCTGGATTTTTTCATTCTCCAGCTTCTCCATTTCCAGCCTTTTGCGCTCCCTGGACGTCTGAGCTGCCGCACGATTTCGAAGGACGCGCTCAATGCGACGCTGCTCCTTCTCGTCCTCTGTTTTGGCACGTTTCCTTTGCCATGTCAGCCATTATCCCAGGGCATCTGTTTGAACTAAAGCGACATACCTCGGAGGCAAGTTTGTCTTGGGCACTGGTAGTTCCTGGCCCCACGACTTCCGCTTCTTTGCGGGCTTCTTCTCTTCTGGTTTGACTTCCTGCGTCTTCACATCTGCGTTATCCAAGGATGTGTCGGCCGGGGAGACCGTCAACACCGGTACCTCCGATGCCGGTGTGGAGGGCAATGACTCTACTGAAGACATGGTGTTTTCCATATCACAAGACATAGTGATCATAAGGTGGTCGTAACTCTAGAGAACGTGTAATGTATTGGCTCTGCCAGAGGTTGAGAATAAAAATAAAAAAACAAAACCCCCTCCAGAGTGTACGTCTTTCTCGGAAAATGTAGTATGATCACGTCCACGGGCCCAGATCACAAGGTTAGAAGCCACGGTGTCATAACGGTTGAGTAGAGGCTAAGCCCCGATTCAATTAGGGTAGAGTGTCAGAAACCGCAAGTGGGATTGTTGAAAAAGGACAGGTGTTCAAAACCAAAAGAGGGTAAAGGTTGTGTGAAGGCCAGAGTGTCTTCTCTCGAGGTGGACTTGGGGGAACGGTTGACTCTTTAAAAGGCCAACGTGGTCTCATCCGCCGCGCCCTGCAGCAAGGGGGCGGAGTCATGGTCGTCAGCCTACCTGACGGTATCATTACATGGATACTACGGGGCACGGGGCGAATTCCCTTCACGCATTCCATAGAACCGGTACTGCGGATGTAATCTGTATTATTGACGTGCTGAAACGACCAGTCATCGTCCAGTCCCACAGCCATCAACCTCTTTTGTTCTTTACTTGCAACAACTAGTTACCACCTCCCACAGGGGTGGAGTCCCTTTTTTCGCCCCTTTTGGAGGTCTCGGCCTCCGTGTCTGATAGAGAATACCCAATAGGCTCCCTCGATGATGTGGGGTAGAGGGTGAGACTTCACTTGATGCCGCTGCCTGGAGCGCCTGAACTTCTAAAGTTGGAATACGAGTGATCTGCTAGCAGGCCCCCAGTATCCATCGGATTCCCGTCGGGTTGATGATACTACGGAGTATATCCTCCGTCATCCGTACAGATTGTAGGTACGACTAATCGGATCGTTTTCTTTTTTTACAAAAAATTTCCGGTGCATCTGTCCAAAGTTCAAACACTCCGCCTTGCGGGGTCAAGCAAGAACAGTATCTTTCTCTTTTTCCTTTTCTTGGAGGAGTTGTACCTGCCTACATATTTGGGCCTAGAATGTGGATATCCTCCTTCAGCTTTCAATGGGAAGAACATGGCTCCACTGGTTTCAATGGTCATCCATTGAAGGGTTTCATTCGCCCTGTAACAATGAAAATGGAATGCACCAGAATCCCTTCGCCTTTCTTTTGTTCCCGTTTTTCAGCCACGCACCCAACTAATCAGTCCTCATTTCTACCTTGCTAATTCGTACTGAGCCACGCAATATGACTCGCCGTAGGTCTGAGTGCATGCATCGCTCGAAAAGGGTTAACTAATGTCGTCGAGGAAGGCATACCGAATCGATGGTGTGGTATGCTAGGCGAAAGGTATGTATGTATCCCCCATGTCCTTATTGCAAGGGGTCCACAGGGAGGTTTCTTGTTGTTTCGCTTTCTCTTTCTGTGACAGTCTTGTCTTTTTACATACTGATCTAACCTTGTCATGCTTTGACGGGTGGGGAGCATGAACTAAGAGACAAGCGTAATAAAATAAAAATAAACCCCTGCCCCCTCGTTATTCCAGAACGTTTCAACGACGTGATCTACAGAGGATAGCCAATCACCTACACCGTTTAGTGCCAATTTACTTGTATTCGTTTTGTTCCCACTGTCCACTTTTGTCCCGAATGTCATCGGCAAGAAAACAACAATTCACTTGATACCATGGGAATATATACAAAAACCGAAAGAAGAGGGAAAGAAAGACATCATGCCATGATAACGCCGATCCGGATCGCGACTCAAGATCAAAACCGTAGAAGTCAGATGGGAAAGGGGGGAGGTGACTAAAGATTTATCCATGTATACCCACCTACATGGTAACGTCCATTGTATCATCTCCAGCATCGAGGGCACCTTGTTTCTCGGGGTCAGGCACGACAACACCTCGACCTCGGCCAGCCAACAGCTCCCGCCTGACTTCGGGGCCAATATCTTTATGGCCGCGCACCAGGAGTAAGTCTAGAAGCGCCTCTCGTTGATCCTCAGTGATGTCATTGCGGTAACGCTGTGCGAAGACCAAGAGCGACTGGTGCCAAAGAACGGGAAGTTTATACGCTTTGTTGGTGTCCCGTGAACGTCCATTCGTCATCATTGAGTCCTCATCGTTGTCGCTCGCCCGGAATCGTAGGAAGTGGAAGACTAGCGCATCAATGACTTTGTAAGGAAGCGCGTACTTCTTCTCCAAGAACACCCTAATGAACATGTTCACCGCGCCGGTACTTTCTAGTGATGTCAAAGACTGCTCCGCAGCAAGATCACACATGCGCAACAAAGCGGCCGCAGAATGCAACACCGGGATGGATACACGGGCAATGACCGAGGAGACAATATGTGCTTCGCGTAACGTGCAAGTGCCACTAGAGACAAGAGGGAACAGTAACCCCTTGAAGAAGCAGGCGGGTTTGTATAGTGCCTTCCTCAACGAGTTGTACGTATGCACATTAAGTTTCTTAGTCTCGTGGATTTCTTCTCGAACCCGATCTAGGAGTACTGTTGAGATGAACTCCTGGGCAACTGCGGGTTTCGATGAGATGAAGATCCTCGTTCCAGCATAAACAGCGTTGGCGGTCCATGACTCTGGTCGAGTGATGGAAAGGAGCGTCGGCCAATTGGGAACAGAAGGAAGAATTTTGAAAGGCTTGGGAAGTGGCCCGGATTTATAGCGGGAGAGTATCATACCGACTCTAGGCTCCTATTAATATTTAGATCATATGGGAGACATGGTTTTCATGCTTACTTCTCATATACTTCCACTGCCTTGGCCGGTATCTGAACTGCATCTTCCGGTAGCCCCCCGCCCTGAATGAAGGGACCGTTATCTCCGTTTTGCTTTGCTTCATGTTCAGCAATCTTCTCAAGGATGAGATCGGCTAAATTTGTGCTCTGACCACCAGCGCCCGGTTCACTAGGATTGAATATAGGATCTTCGTCGCCACCGGGAACGAATTTATGGAACATGTCAAGGTCATTTGGATCGACCTCCTACATGAGACATTAGCCATAGAATGGGGCGTCGGGGGTTAATTCAATAACAGACCACTTCCTCAATTTCTTCCTCATCGCCCCATTGGTCATCCTGAAACTTTTCGTCATCGGAAAGACCTTCATCGTCATCAAATCGAGATTCGAAATCAAATGCTGTATTATCTTTCACCGCTGTAATGCCCAAAGCAGCCCTTTGCTCAGCAGCATCCTCGTCCGCTAGTTCCTGCCCAATCTGCAGGATTTTGCGCGACATTTTTGCATCGATGAAACGTTCGCCATCATCTTGGTCTTCATCGGATCGCGACTTGCGTTTACTATTTTTGCTGGAATGGGTCCGTAAATGGCCTGTTGTCACGATATCTTCAGCCAGAGGATTGTGTCGACGGCCAACAGCGGCCGAGCGAGATGATGTAGCTTTGGGCATTGTGAATGGCTTCCAAAGATCGTTGTGAAAGTATGATTTGTAGCTGAAGAATTCTATACCATAACAAACAATGATAAGAGCCTGGCCGTCTAAATGATCGTATAATTGAGCTTCGACATGGGCTTGAAAATGTGTGTAAATTTGTAGATCATGTGATCTTGACTTTTCTGCAAAGCATTTTTTTTTTCTTTGACTAGTATTCAAAGTGGGTGTTGGGATACTCACCGCTTTCAATTAGAGCACGATGAATGGCCAATGTTTTCTCACCGCCCAGTGCCCCTCCATCTAAGGGAATCCACCAACATTGTGTTTCTGCCCAAGATAACTCTGCTGACCGCCCTCGACTACCGAGACCAGGACTGTTTCTGCTCCAGGTATCATTCATTCATGTTTACTAGATGCACAGGGACGACGACCATTGATTGTTCTTTGTGGGAAGTGAATGTCACATCATAACCAGCTTTGCTAATAACGAATTCTTGTTGATCTCCTACCTACTCCCAGGATCCCCTGATATCTTCCATATCATATAAGAACTTTCATCCAGTAAACTTGGTTGGAAGGCATAATAAACCCATCGATTGACCCTCGTGGTTGCAAAACGCAGATTGGTGAGTCGGCAAGGGCTTGGACTCTATCAATTCATCATTGCCACCCTTTGTGCATTTATAGACTTTCAATCCTGCCTGTAAAATATTCTTCTCAAATGTACTGTGCCTATGCCTGACCCGACTATTCCTTTATCGCAGGCTCTCCAGTTTGTCCAGACCCTCTGGAATCTGTTCTTGAATACCGGCGTCTTTATTCTCGATGCTTGTCTCCCTTTAACGAAGGGAAATCGTCTACTTCGTGGATCTTTGCCAAGCCAACTTCCCCTATTGCGATCGCTTGGAGTCTGTCTGCTCCTCACCCTTGACGCTTGTAACATCACAATAAGAAAACAGCAAACTAATGATCTTACGCCATAGGAGCCAGGGCCATTGAACCATCCTTTCATAATTGACTTGGCTGTTTGGACAGCTCATCTGCGAAACAACTTCAGCCATGGCATCTATGCAGCCGGCTGGGTCTTCTGCACCTTCGTCGAATATAAATTCGCCAATTTTGCCTCCCAGCGGAACACCGTTTTTCAATGGACCTTTATCAGATACGAATACAAGATCATCACCTGCGCCCGCTAGCAATGCGTCAGTGCAAGCTGACGGTCCAAGGACCAAGCGCAACAAACGTGACAGTCGTAAAAAGCGCGAGGCTAAGGGATTGGATCAAGAAATCGTGCCCGCCAAAAAGAGAGCAACTGCTGTTCAAAATACCGCTCTCCCCAGTTCGGACCTCAATATTCTCAGACCTTTGCTGCTTGCTGAGCCGAGGCCATCCGATTTACTACCTCCCCAGCCTCGCCAGCTAAATTTAGTGAGTCGGAAAACATCAGAGGTAATTGGCCAGAGTTGGAGCTTCTACGAAGTCGTTGACAAGCTTACAAATAAAAATGGGTTCCGCTATAGCTACGCCATAGCCGATACTAGCTTCCCACATATAAAATACCGTCAGACCGATGTTCGTCCTTATAATGCTCGCTTCAGCTTTGAGGATTCACCGGCAGCGATACTCTTTAATGAAGACGCACTTGCCGT